GTAATGTCTATATTGTGTTGTGTGTTGGTCAATTTTCCATTGTTTTTTCCCAATGACTGCCTTGCCTTCCTTGGTGGATTGATCATGACTTGGGTATAAATGCACATGGTGTATTACCCAATGATGGTATAAGATGGTGGAAATTTAAATTTCGTCATCCCATAGATTTTAAGTTTCGAGATGTGCTAACAGCTCCATTGAGATTAGAAATTTACGGGCCCTTCGCGTCATACATATTTTTGAATGAAATACTGATCGGAAGGTATTATGGTAACGGTGATTGTGCGCAACACGATTTCTATTTGATGGACGGACTTTTGAAGCTTGGTGAGGAAGAGAATGAAGTGAAGATGATGGTATACGCATGGGAAGTCGTGAATCCTGAAGATATTAAGTTAGAAATTAAGGGGTGGGAAATTGACGATATTAATAAAACGGGAAATTTGATTAGACCAAAGAAAGGTGTATCTGCAGACGATGATGCGGACTTTGAACTGAATGCATGGATTGTAAGAAAAGAGGCCATCCCCATTACACATTCTGAAGTGAATGTTGGGAAAGGGATGGTTTCAAACGATTCTCCCGCTGATGACGCTGATGAGAATCAATAGATTGCTAAAAACTGTTCGGTTAGCATATTCGATCCTGTTCAATAAATTGCACATTAAATTCTTAAATTTGGAAAATACAGTATATTATAACTCATGTAGATTTTAAGTGACAAAAAAGAATTACGATTTGCAGTAGAATTTTATGATTTTCTCATTTGTCTTGTTTTTATCCGAAGTTTGCTGCACGTAATAAAAAAATTTATCAAATTTGATAAAACTTGATTTTGCCACAATAGCATACTGTATTTTAGTGAAAATGATAATGGAATTTTTTACCGCAGTATACAAAAAAGATTTATTTTTTGCCACAGTATACAAAATTTTTTTTTGCCACACTATTATCGAATTTTTTGTCGAAAGCAGTAAGTATATAATAAAATAAATAAATAGGATTTTGAAAGTTTGAATAAGAATATCATTCAATATTTTTTTCTAAAATTATTATTTTATTTAATTTGTTATTTCAGTCATAATATTAAGCAATAATACTATTTTATATTATTTATTTATTGATCTTTGAATTCTTAGCTTGACATTAATCATCTCTTATACTGTATATGATATATTTTTATATATAGTATATAGATTAATGATAATATATTATTATCTGCAATAATGACCTGCAGATAATAAAGTTAGTAGTTAGAAAGGTTTTTATTAATAGAATAATAAATCACTTTCAAAATTGCACTTAGAGTTTTGATAAATTTCAAAATAGCAATAAGTAAGTTAGGTAAAGATTAAAATTTGATAGTATATTTCTTAATATAAAGTATTCAAATATTTAATAAAGCATAAATGCCTAGCTTGATAGAGGGTT